GGTCCTTAATACATTTGGGACTGAGTTTTGTGGAGGATGATAGATGCGAATCTATTTGCATTCCTCTACATACAGCTACCCAGTTTGACCAGAAAAAGTGCCAGTAAGTTTTTTCTTTTCTTTTCTTTTTTTTTTTTTTTTTTTGTCAAAAACCAAGTATCTGTAGGTGTGTAGAATTGTATGGGTGTTCAATTCTATTCTACCAATCCACCCCCTTTTTTTTTTTGTTTGTTTTTTCGAGACAGGGTTTCTTTGTGTAGCTTTGCGCCTTTCCTGGAACTCACTTGGTAGACCAGGCTGGCCTCGAACTCACAGAGATCCACCTGCCTCTGCCTCCCGAGTGCTGGGATTAAAGGCGTGCGCCACCACCGCCCGGCCACCCCCCTTTTTTGGGGAGGGGTCTGTTTTTATGTCAATACGATACTATTTTAATCACTAGAGCCCTGTAATACAACTTGAAACCAGTTCACTTTTTATTCAGGATTGTTTTAGCTATGCTGAGTTTTTTGTGTTTCCATATGAAGATTGTTTTTCAATCCCTGTGAAGAATTGTGTTGGAATTCTTATAGTAACCGAAGATAAGGTGTATACATACACATCTAAAATTTAAATAACTTTAAAAAATTACCTTTGCTTTTCAGAAGACAAATATTTAGCATATGTGAGGTTATCATTGGTCACTGAATTAGGACAAGTAATTCAGTTCCTCACTTGGAAATCTAAAATCACTGGGAAACATCTACTCATTTCTCAGAAAAGCTTCACTGGAAAGTGGCCTTACGGATTTTGGATGACTCAGATGATAACAAAAAACTACAATAACTGATATGAACGGCAGGCCCCTTAAATAGAAACTCAATTCTGGCAGGGCCGCATGGCAGCATGGGAAACAGCAGAGGCCACGCATGAAGGCAGGCCACAGATGGCACTTGTGCGAGACATAAGCCAAATGCTCTAGAGCTCTTTCCACAGCCACTGCACAGTTCTGTACATTGTTCTGTGATGTAGTAAGTCTTTCCTAGATGAATACATTTTGATTTATTGTTATTTTCTTTGTATGAATGTTTTTGTCTGAATGTATGTATGTGCACCATGTACATGCTTGGTGCCCTTGGAGGTCAGAAGAGGGTGTCAGATCCCCCTGGAACTGGAGTTATGGAGTTGTGAGCCACCATGTTGATGCTGGGAACTGAACCTGGGTTCTCAGTAAAAGCAGTAAGTGCTCGTAACCACTGAGCCATCTCTGTAGCCCCCTTTCTTAGGAGTTTTAGCAAGCAGGAGGCACCTATAATCTAACCACAAAGAGAAGAAAACACCCTTAAAAGCTATAATAACCAACAGTATATACTAAAAATGTAGTATGTACCTACCAACATGCTACTTCCCATGACTATATACAACTACAAATACATACTTTAACATACAAAGGCAGGGGAATTTTGCGAGCAAAGGATTGAGATTCTGTAAAAACATGAAAATAAGATCATCTAAAATGTTTCTAGCTATGACACTGTACAGTGAAACAGGACATATTAAGCACATTTCCATTTCCTAAAATCTAGGTACCCCTCAAAGGCCAACACAGAGTTTCAAGTATTACCAGAAATGACTTAGAAAGTCCTCCAAAGGAATTAAGAAACCACTCAGACTGAAGGCAAAAACTTAAAAATGGAATCCACAGGGCAGGATTTCATTTAAGTGAGACCACAGACAATGCAAATTCATCTTTACAATTAGACCAGTGGGTGTCTATATGGGGTCTTGAAGGCGACAACTAACAGCCAAGGGCACCGGGGAGCTTATACATGTGGTAGACATATTCAAAATGCTGATTGCTGGAGTGGTTTCAGGTATATGTATCTGTCAAAACTCAGTAAACTATACACTTTAAAATGGATACAGTTTATTGTATATAAATTATGCCCCAATTAAAGACTTCCTAATAACCAGAAACAAAAATACCACCACCACAGAAATAACAAAGCACGGCCATAGCTCACTTCCTGTGTGCTGGGCAGGTCTTCTTTCAGTTGGCCCAGGATCTTCTATTTGTACTTTGATTTTGGGCACTTTGTCTTTCAGGTGAAAGTAAGTGAATGCCAACATTGAGGCACCCCTAAATTATGTGGGAACTTTATAGCATAGCAGTCATTCAGAACAGATATTCGGGTTGAGGAGGTAGGAAAATGTTTCTTCTGCTGGTAAGTGGCCAGTCTCCACATACGTGACTTCACCTAAACAGAAGAGAAGGTAGAAAAGTAGATCCGGGCACTCCTCACCTTGAGGAGCCCCAACCCTCAGCATCTTACAGGGGATCCTTCCACTGTGGGGCTGACACGAACACGGAGCTTGGCATCAGTAACAGCTTATCAGTAAGTACTGAAGAAACAAGGAAACTAATGGATATATTAAAAATATGTGCACTTATCTATAAGCTGAAGCGTTACTTGATAAAAGAGCAAAATGCTTACTGTAGCTTAGAAAAAAAAATTAAGTTTGTAATGAGAACAGTCACTTTTATGCTGTCCTTCATTAAAATGAAGGCCCATGAAAACATAAAGAGTATTTTTTTCTCACTTAAATAATAGTCTGTGTGTGCCACAGTAAATATGTACCATCTGCATGCAAGAACCCTTGGGGAACATAAGGAGTCAGATCCCCTGCAACTAGAGTTACAGAGGGATGTAAGCCTCCATGTGGGTGCTGGGAACCGAACCTCAGTCCTCTGCAAAAGTAGTAAGTGCTCTTAGCTGCTCATCCATCTCTCCAGCCCAATGCCTCGACCTCTCCAAAGCATCATGATTATGGCACAGCAATGCTGAGTATCCTAAGAAACTGGTGTTTCAGTTATTAGTCTGTGTTAGGTAAACTCCACTGGCGCAAACCCACAGCTCAGCTGCTGAGAGAAGCCAGCTACCATCTCTACATACCAGCCTGAGATAACAATCTGAATTTTATTAGAAACAAAAATAAATTGAAAAAGCCTCCTTTAGTTACATAATATGCACAAGAGTTTCTACATCACATCATTTTACAAGAAATTTCTGAATAACAGGAGTAAAACTTACTATGTGAAGAGAGGAGTCAGGTGTGGAAGATAGAGAGAGACCGCGCGCGCGCGCGCGCGCGCGCACACACACACACACACACACACACACACTGAGGAAACAAGCCTCCCTGTAATCTCTGGCTGTAGGAGATGGAACTAGGAGCATGACAGAAATTGAAGGAAAAAGACTTTTGCTACTTTAAAAAATACTTCAGCAAAAAGTAGTCGACTATTTGTAAATAACTTTAAGCAGAGCTTTTCAGTATGTAGGGTAACATTCTTAACTGAATTTTATTCAATCCGGGAACACAATTTCACCGCTGAGGGGGATTTCTCTCCACATTATACAAACTTTGTTTCCTTTCCTGGAAAAAACAAAATGCAAGTAGTTTCTGTGCAGGGACTGGGATTCTTGGCCTTCACTTGGCAAACCTGTCTGCCTATCTGGTATTTCCATCCAGAAAGTTAGGCTTGAATAAACTGTAGAACAGGAACTAACAACACATCCGGTTCCTTGGTACCTTGGGTATTGAACGGTTTTATGGGTGGAGACATCGAGTAACCTGGTATGGATTCAAGTATGTATGTTGTCGTTTTAATCTTCGGGGATAGCGGGAACTTTAAAAAAAAAATCTGAGTGTTGCAATGCATTTACTTAAGGCTGTCCAGGACCACTACAGTATTGGAAGCCACAAGGAACTGACCACAAGCAACTGCTTAACAGTCTTCTGCCATTGGTACCATGAGTAAATTTAGTATTTTCTTCCATTACCTGTTTGGATACTTTTATCAAGTGACTGCTGATAAAATATCCTTTTAGCTCTAGGATGACCTTGCAAAATAAATTTCTGGTTAGAACTGAGACTATAACCATGTAACATGAAATCTAATGGAAAGTCAAACTCAGCACTCATATTTCGAGATACTTTTGACATGCTGCCTAAAAGAGACCACACCCCTGGGGTGCAGTATCAGATATACACATAGGCAGCAATGTCAGGGAGATTCTGGTCTTTGGCATCTCAGTCTACAGTTATCTTATTTTCTCTGTCATTTTTATTTCAACTATTAATGCTGGGCTTAAATTAATTTTACCTGATAGAATTTGGGAACGATAACCTTTATTTAAGTGAAAGAAGACACTTAGCTCCCAGGAGGAAGGCACATGTTACTATAAATTGCCCTATACCTTTATTTGTATACAGAAGGGATTCATTGTAAAACTCAGAGAGGAAAAAATAATGGAAGAAAAGTTACCTGCTTCAGCATTTTAAAGAACAATTTTGATAGCTTCTTGTGCTCCTCTGAAACAGAGCAGGAACATGATAGATGTCTAAGGACCACAGCAATCATGCTTTCAGTTCCAAAGTGTTCTCTTTAAAAACATGAACACTATAAAAGCAAGACTGATGGCAGCCTTAGTTAAAAGACATTCTCATACTGGTATCAAAATGTAGTAACATGGACTGAAAAAATAGAGCTTAGGGAATTTTTTTTTCAATGGCATTTTATTATTTACCTTTAAGTTATTTTGAAGGTTGGTAGTAAACTTAATGTTAACAATATAAATATTTTCTTTGTAAGTGCTGAAATTCTCTTAAAAGCATGGGAAGGTAGCAGTCATTCCAGATCGGACTTCAGAGAAATCAATCCTCCCAATATCTATGGAAAGTGGGTTTTCACTTCATCTTCCTTACTCAGGTCTCCTGATTTGTCTGCTTATTTGCTATCATAAGCAGACATGCCTTTTTGGCTGGGCCAATCATTTACGTTTCCATTATTTTTCAATTTTCTTCAAATATACCATAACACGATTCAATAATTGTTGTAAGGATCAGTTAAGCTAGACCATGTTCTTTCAATTTCATTTGACACTAATATTAAAAGTCAGAAAAGCTTCCGTTTCTACACAGAACTGAAAATCCTTAGGGCATACAAAAGAGCACACATTCAGTATCTCATAAACGATGTTCAGCCTAAAGAAAATCACTAAACTTGCTTTCATTAAACACAGCTGCCACCACTTACCTTTAATATTAACAGATGGAACTATGTTTAATATTGCTTCAGGATGTGTTGGCACAAAACCCTGTCTTTGAACTCAGTTTAAACGTTCTGTACTTCCGTAATGTACCACCAGTTATTTATAATACCCTGTCTTTACATTGGTGCACACCGGCTTTTGGAAAATAGCAGACTTTTGAGATGAGCTCTAAGAAGAACATCCTTGAGGTTCCACCTTTTACTACAGAGAAAAGGATGATGCTTGCACACAGTAGCTAGTGTGATACCCCACCTGTCAGCTAGCTCACACCAGGAGCATGCATATACAGCCAAGTTTACTGCATGTGCTCTGAAATTGAGAACTCTTGCCTTTCCAAGTCACAGGTGCTTATCATCTTATGCAACAAGACAGTGGACTGTATATCCACCATAAGAAGAAAATAAATGACATACAAATGCAGCAAATATAGGCATTTGGCATTCAGAACACGCCAAAAAGCTAACACTCATGAACTGTCATAATGGTTTGTCTTTTCTTAAAAAAAGGTCTTTGCATATTTTAAAATGTAACGGTCCCAGAGAGTCATGAAGTGCCTTGTCGTTTCTGCTGTTGGCTTCTGATGACCTCTAGTTGTTTTTTGCATTGCTGGTAATAAGTAGAAAGGCTTTTGTTTTCATCTAAAAGCTTTTTATGTTCCTGTACCAGACGAGATGTATTTTGCTGGTCCTTTTCATCCTGGTCCAATTCTGCAACTAGTTCTTGCCTAAAAACAAATTACACAATAACATTACACATGGTGGGAAGAGCTACACCTTTAGCTGATGAAAAAAACTCAGTTAATGAGAACTTTTTCTCCCTACCATTCTGCAAGTTAAGCATTCTACTCCAATACAATCCTAGGACAGAATGGAAATCACCACCCACTCTTCTACAGTAACCACACAAGAACCATAGTCCTTTCAGTAAGTACTTAAGGCAATCAGGGAAACAGAGAAATCACTGCAACATTTCAAAAAACTTTATTTGATATCCTCTTCATTTGGTAGGAAGAAAAAAGGTTCCATCCAGTTCCAGGATGGTAGAACTGTGTCATAGTTCACACTCCACTCTCATATGCCATTATATCTTAATCCATATTCTGAAGTCACAGTCCTATTTAACTACAGCTCCAATGGCAGTAACAGAACATCTGCAAGCTAATTAAGAGATATTACACCATTTAAAGTTCTTTTCTGCTCTACAACAGCAAGAAGAGCATCTATAAGTATTTTCAGGAGATCCTTATTCTTACAGACAGGTCAGCTTCAACTCCCTCTCTTCAGAGGATATTGAGAATTAGCCCCTGAAGCAAGAGACTCCTGAGTGTAAATGAATAATGAGGTCTTATTATTCAAAGTAGCTTCCTGACATGTATTATTTAAACTAAGTATTCAGGTTGGTGAGATGACCAGTGGGTAAAAAAGGCATGAGTCACCAAACCTGATGCTGAGTTCAATCTCAAGAACTCACACAGTGGAAGAAGAGAATAGTACCCCCAGCTGTAATGTGACACTGCCCACATAATAAATAAACTAACTAAAAATGTAAAGCAAGTACTGTGATCAAGTGTCATAGTTTTCACATTCACCTATATCCAACATTTGTATTTTTTAAAACAATTATTTATTTTTATTTGATGTGCATTGGTGTTTTGCCATGGGTGTCATTGGGTCCCCTGAAACTGGAATTATAGACAGCTATGAGCTACCATGGGGGTGCTGGGAATTGACCCTGGGACCTCTGGAGGAGCAGCCAGTGCTCTTAACCACTGAGCCATCTCTCCAGCTCCCCAACATTTGTGTTTTGTTAACAGAGAATTCTTCTTTCGCATAGTTAAATGTGACAAGGCAGGTTAAACAGAGAAATACATGCAGGGCTCCTCCCCAAACACAAAATTTCAGAAGTTCCATAGCTATGCCTACAGCTTCCAGGCCATAATATTCAACTTCCTATTTGAGATCTTCAGGATACCAACTTAGATTCCTTTAAATTATTATACTATTTTCCTCTTTTTAAAAATTATTCTTTTGTTATGACATTTATATTATTGTGTGTGTGTGTGTGTGCGCGCGCGCACGTGTGTGCGTGCACATGCACACCATGGGGTGTGTGTAGGTCAGAGGACAACCTCCTTCCATCAAGTGGGCTCTGGAGATGGACTTCATGTCGTCAGGCTTGGCTGCCAATGCCTCTACCCACTGCGCTACCTCGCTGGCTCGAGCCTCCCTTTCTGAAGCACAAGTACAGATGATTTCTTACAAATTACTCTGGAAAATAAGAACTTTTACTCCAATGCAAGTTACTGTAAGAATTCTATTTCCATATATACATTTATCACAGTTTTTTCTACAACATTTATTGTCATTCTTCACAAGTCTAAAATTTCACAAGGTTCATGTTTAAGTGAATACCAACCTTCTAACCTAACCTAACCTAACCAAACCAAACCAAACCAAACCAAACCAAACCAAACCAAAAGCACCTGTGTGGAAATAAGCAGGAGTTTTTAAATACAGAAAGGAGGCAATTTCTATTGCTCTTGAAAATCATAGGTGGCTATAAAATTACCCCTAGACACTCCGATAGAAAAATAGAGCCTGCTGTCAGTATCCCTGCTCTAGTCAACACACGCCGAAAAGACCGGGAAAACTTTGCCTCAGAGACCAAACTCAACCGAATGCCAGGAAAACATCACTTTACCTTTGGTCAAGAACCAATAAACCTTGTAGTGGTAACTCTAAACACCCTTCCACTGTTTGACCTTGACAACATAAACTTGGGGATGCAACCAAGTTTATTTTCCTTAGCACTACATGATGTCATCAAAAGGGTGTTTTGCATGAAACTGGTTAAAGGGTGCTTATAGTTTAACATAAATCTAGATGGAAATACCTTTTGTGTTTATTCATTAACTTATTTTTTGAGAAGGGTCTCCAGATGGCCTTGAACTCACAAAGATTCACCTGCTTCCACTTCCTGAATGTTGAAATTAAAGGCACATGTCACCACACCAGCCTAAAGATTTATTTTTACTTATGCGCATGTGTGTGTGTTTGTGTGGGTATGTGCACATGAATGCAGCACCCTCAGAGGCTGGAAGAAGGCACTGGATGCCCTGGAGCAGTAGTTACAAATGGCTGTGAGCTGGCCACTGTGGGTGTGGAAGTGAACTTGGGTCCTCTGCAAGAACAACATGTGTGCTTTTAATGTACTGAGCCATCTTTCTAGCTCTTGGAAATGAGTTTAATGACTAATTTTAGGACTCTTGAGACAACAATTTCTTAAAGTCTTTTAAAATAATGTTGCTCTCTCTCTATATATATATTTAAATTCACAATGCTAGTACGTTTCTAACTTCTTTCGGAAAGGACTTACTTTCTCTGTAGTAACAATGCGATTTCAGTCTGGACTTTCATATACTCCTGTGCCATCTTACAATGCTGTTCAAACACTGCCATGGACTCTTTGGAATTTGGGCATGGTGCTAGAGGCTGGAAAGAAAGCAGAAATGTTAAAATGTGAACCTCAGTATCTACCTAAGATGATGGCGAAGGCAGGGACTGACTGACATATTTTTATAGCATTAAAGCAATGTAAGCAAAAGTAAGTGTGCTGAGGAGCCCACCAGGTTTCCCTGGACAGTGCCAAACCCTGGGCCACACAGAGTTAGACACAGTAAACAAAATGAAATAAACTCATGGATGTGAGAAAGAGACTTGTAGGGAAAGGGTGCAATAGGGTGAAGAGGTAAGAGTGTAACTAGAGGTGAGTGATTAGGGTCACCAGAATGCACTTCATACATTCATCAACTGCCCAAGAACCAATTTTCTGAAAGTTGTTTTTAAGTGTTACTCTGTGTCCTGGTAAACTGGGTGCTCCCTTGTCAGCCAATTCAGAATGGCTGTGACGAGACCAGGTGAAGCTTTGGGATGACATTTCCTGCTACAGAGCTGGATCATACTAAGGACCCTTCTTTTATTTATTTGTTTGTTTGTTTGTTTGTTTGTTTTTTCGAGACAGGGTTTCTCTGTGTAGTTTTGGTGCCTATCCTGGATCTTGCTCTGTAGACCCCACTGGCCTCGAACTCACAGTGATCCGCCTGGCTCTGCCTCCTGAGTGCTGGGATTAAAGGCGTGTCTCTTTTAACTGGACAGGACTGGGCTGCCCAGGCGGCCCTGCAATTTTCAGCCCTACCTGCCCTCCAAGTAGCTAGGACTAACAGCACATGCTGGGCTCCCAGGATGCTTATAATTCTCACTTTCATAAAGAAGCATTGAAACACTTTACATATGCTTCCTGTCATTATGAACCTAAGGATGCAACGCAAAATGTTTTAAAAGGAAGTTTTGTATCTTAATACACTAAAAGATTATGGAGTGAAAATGCTATACTTGGCAGTCTTACAACAGAGATATGGAGCTATTTTAAGATGACTACAGGGATGAGAACATAAACTATGTTAATCCTAAACCTAAGTAACTTAAAAACAGTTAAAAAAAAAGAAAGAAAGAAAGAAAGAAAGAAAGAAAGAAAGAAAGAAAGAAAGAAAGAAAGAAAGAAAGAAAGAAAGAAAGAAAAGATTTTTGAGACAGGCTCTCTTGCGGTTCAGGCTGACTTCAACCTCATTTTGTAGCTAAAGCAGACCTTGAGCCTCTGACCCTCTGGCTTCTGCTTCTCACATGCTGGGATCAGAGGTGTGAGCACCAAACCTGGCAAAGCCATTTACTTTACTTCGATTGTGAAGTTGGCTGAAGGGGTCAGCTAAAGGCATAAAGAAATGGACAGGAATACACTGTGAATATCATGAACTCTCCCAGGAGGAAAAGCAAATGTGCTCCTTTACCTGTAGCTGGTGATCCAGTGTAAGATACGCCATTGGGATGGAGTTATCTGAGCCATTGGTATCTGGAAGCCAAGCATGCATTTTATTTATTAATTCATGAATGTAAGTATTCATTTGTTATAACAATAAACAAGTGGGAAAGGGTATGAGATGTTATCCCCTCCAAATATTATTAAATAAATGTTACTGTTATTGGTAATGAACAGGGTCTGGTTCTGAATACTAAATGAAAAAGGGGGAACATGTGGTCACAGATACTAAAATACAAGCTTATTCTACAATTTAAGTTGGCTCTAAACTGAATAGGATACTATATATTAAAGATCACAGGTCCTTGTTTAATTAAAAACAAAGTGACATGGCACACAGTCTCTATATTTTCGAGTTTAAATTCAGTCCTAACTGATCCTATGCAATTCAAGCCTACATCCCTTTCCCAGGTTCTGTTCACCAGGAGCTGGATCAACTCTGTGGTGTCAGTCTACACAGGAAAGGTAAAAGCAAGTGTTCTGGAGTCTCCAGATAGTCTTCAGTTGACACAGACACTGTTGTGAGCAGCCCCAGCCTGCCCCAATGAGACACTATTGGTGAAAATATACGTACGACATGAACAACAACAGAGACAAAAGAGGCATTTAGAACTCAGGCTCAACACTTTGTTCCAAATGGTTATATTGGTGAATTCAAGCCATTAGCCAATCTTATCAAAAGTACTCAAAGTATAGGTCTTGTTTGTTTCAAAGGAGGTAAAACTGCCCTCCCACTCAAAGACTAGTTATGGATTAAAGCAAGGTCATGCATGATGACAGTGGAGACCCTGCATGGAATCCAATGAAAAGTTGAGGAAACCAGATGACCCACTCAGACACTGCTTTCCACAAAACTCAAATGGGATGAAAATGATAGCTTCCTTAGAAGGAAGAATGAACCATCTTGAAAGTTTCCTCAATTAAAGCCTTCCCTCCCAGGGCTCTTCCCCTCAATCACAGCTACCTCTCCACTACACTGTACCAGCATGTAGTCTCTGATGGGCACTTTAAAATCAAGTAGAATTTGTTGGTATTTCAAAAGCACTGTGCTGGTTCAAACAATGAAAGCTTTCCACAAAGGGAAAATTTAGGTCCTTTATTGGATTTCATCTTTGTTCTCTAAAACCAAGGAGTGGCATTTCACTTTCTCATTTGTACCTAAGTTGGAATACCAGCTTCTAGTTTCTAATATTAACTGGATAATATTAACAACTGTTCACAAGATAGCATGGTTATTACTTCATGAAAGTTTATTTTCATATTAATTAAACATGACCTCTTCTCATGAAACATCAAAACTCACACTGTTTTGGTTAAGTAAGGCAAAATTTCTGTTTTTCCAAACATAATAGATGTTAACATTGTCCTTTCTTTACAGACATATTCCTTTAGTGGTGGTTTGAATGAGAACGGCCTCCAAAGACTCATGTATCTGAATATTCGGTACCCAGCTGGAACTGTTTGGGAAGAATTAGGAGGTGTGGCCTTGTTGGAGGTGTGTCACTGGTGGTGGACTTTGAGGTTTCAAAAGACTTGTGCCATTTCCAATGTCTCTCTTAGCCTCCTATTTTTGGATCTCGATGTGAGCTCTCAGCTGCTGCTCCAGCACCACGCCTCCTGCCTGCTGCCATATTATCTGCCACGATGGTCATGGGCTCTAATCCTGTGAAACTATAAGGTCTACAGGATGCCTTGGTCAAGGCTTCTTATCACAGCAGTGGTAAAGTAACTAAGACATACTTCTGTGGATGCTTTCTTTTTCTTTCTGGTATGTGACTGAAGAGTATCTTGGGGAGCTTTTGCTATTATTAATTTTTAATTTACCCAAACTAGAGGGTACGTACATCCCTTGATAAACATAGTTCTAAATTACATGACACAGAGAAAAGCTGCCCATTTAAATTTTAAAATTTAACTATAAACTTGACCAAACCACACTAGGTATCTACAAATACAGGAATCACATTTTACTTTGTGAAGACAGAAAGCTGAATTCTAAATTTCAATTTAAATGCTACTATTAATAATAGCTGATCTTATGGAAAATTCCAAATGGCTTCATCTTCCAAGGCTTAAGACACCACCTTCCTTTCTGACTTACTAAAACACAAACCAAAATCTTCACTTAGCCACATGGAGCCTGGGGTCTGAGCCCAAACCTGTAGCCTTGCTGGTGACCAGGGACCAAGCTGGTGCCAGAGCCATTCTGATCTGAGTGGCTGGGGCTTCCACCTGGAGCCAGGTTGTTGACTGGCCTGAGTTGCTGCTGAGGGCCATGTCTGGGTCTGTGGTCCAGCTGCAGTTGGGGTCTGTGTCAAAGTCTGTGGCCCTGGTTTCCACTAGGGCCTACACGGACACCAGAGATCTGGGCCACAGCCTGTGGCCTTGATGGAGTCTGGGAAGCCATGCTGCAGTGGGGGTCCATACAGATCTGGATGGCTTATGCTGCCACCTGGGACATATCTTCTGGGCCTAGGTTACTGCTGAGGAGCATGTCTGGGTCTGGGGCCCTATAATGGCCAGGGTTTGGATTGACACATGTGGCTCCTATTGCCACCGAGGGCTGTGAGGATGCCCAGGGTCAGGTCAGCCACCTGAGTCCAGGTTGGTGTCTGAGGGCATGATGCCTTCGGGGCCACGTAGATCTGAGTTTTCTGCACTGCTACCCAAAGCCATGGTAATGTCTGGGCCAGGGATACAGCTGAGGGCCATGTCTAGGTCTGTGGTCCTACTGCAGCAAGGGTCTGTGTTGATGTTCAAGGCTCCTGTTACCATCAAAGGCTGTGCAGATGCCCAAGGTTTGGGGTCATGTTGTTGTCCAAGGGCCATATTACTGCTGGGTCCTGTGCTGATCTAAGTGGCTTGTACTGCCACTTGGGGCAATGGTGACATCTAGACCCGGGTGCTGAGGATCATGTCTGGGGCCGTGGTTCTACCACGGCTGGGGTCTGTGCTGAAGTACGAGTTCCGTGCTGTCACCAAAGGTTACAAAGAAGCCCAGGGTTGGGGCCTCAATCTGAGGCCTTGGTGGTGTCTAGGGGCCATGCTGCCGCCAGAACCATCTCGACCTGAGGGTCCAGTGTTTCCACCCAGAGCTAGGATGTCATCGGGCTCAAGCTGCTGCTGGGGGCCATGTCTGGGTCTGTGGTCCAGGTGCAGCTGGGGTCTGCATTGATGTCTGTGGCCTATGTCACCTCAGGCCCATAGGAACCATGAGAGGTGAAATCAGAGGGCCAGGTTGGGCTGGCTCCACCCTTCGCTGATGCAGGGAAAGCTGGCTTTGCTGGCTTTGCCTTTAGCTGGACACCGTAACACTTCCTTACAACAGGGGAGGAAGAACTGACCCTGAGGCCTTGGGCCTAGAAAGGCTGACTTTGCCCCCTTGTCTGAGGCACGTGGCCCCAGTGGCTCAGAATGACCAGCTCAGCTACCACCCAGGCCCATAGCTGGGCCCTGGGTTAGCCCACCCTAAAACCTATCCCATCTAGGACCTGCTGGAGCTCATGAAGGGACTGGTCTCATTGAACAATGCCCTCAGGACTTCCATCACTCAGGGTAGCCACAAGATCCCAGAAGAGCTCCAGTGAGGATCCAGTGATGATGGTGTACCAGAAACCAGAGGCCTTGAAGCAGACCAGTGATTCATTTCAATGAACATTTGCTAATAAGGCTGATTGTACAAAAGGGTGCACTGTGTGACACAGCAAGGCTCCCAATGCCACCAGGACGAATGAAGAGGCAGTACTGTTTGCTTGCTTGCCTTGTTTAGGTCTTTTAAATTTTCTTTTGTGGGGGTGTACTGCAGAGGTGAGAAGAGGATACAGGGGGATCGGTAGGGGAGTAGAATTGGGGTGCATTGTGGGAGTCCGTTTTCAGGTTCCTCGTGGCTTTACCCAGCAGGTCCACATAGAGAGGATGATTAGGACCATGGGCCTGAGTGCAGGTGTCTGAGATGGTCTGCACTTGGCTGTGCTGGGGGAGGAGGTCTTTTGCTCCACCCCTTGGCGTCTCTATAAAAACCCTGGGGCAGAGACAGTCGGGGGCCATTGGAATAGGTTCCAGGCCCTCTCGAGGCTATCCTTTATTTCCTATCTGTTTATCTCCGCAATATAAATCCTTCTATCTAATATTCCTGCTGCTCGCACTCAAGAAAACTCTGTGGAGCTGTGGGGTTGGAGGGTAAATGCCCCACAGTACATGATATGAAACTCCCAGAGAATCAATAAACAAGTTAAATTAAAAACAAAACAAAAAACAAAACAAAAACCCAGAGGTTGACATTCAGGAAACAACACCAACAATTGACAAAAGGGATTTCATGAAATTATAAAGCTTCTTCAGAGGAAAAAAAAAGTTAAGCTGGGTGTAGTGGCCTTTAATGGCAGCACTTGTGAGGCAGAGGCAGGCAGATCTCTGTGAGTTTGAAGCCAGCCAGGTCTACATAGCAAGTTTTGAGGACAGCCAGTGACACACTGAGATCCTGGCCCTCTCACAAACCAACCAACCAACCAACCAACCAACCAACCAACCAACCAACCAACCCACAAACCAAACAACCAACAACCAGTCAGTTAAGTGAACAGAGTCTACAGAGTGGGAGAAAAGTCTCTGATGGCTGTATGCATGACAGAAGATTAATATTAAGAATATACAAAAGAAAAAAACACTCAAGAAATCAAGCACCCAGCCAATCAGCTCAGTACATAAGCTAATAAGTAGAGAGTTCTCAAAAGATGAAACACAAATGGCTGATAAAGACATGAGAAAATGACCTGGTTAAAGCCCAGGGCTGATTAGGTTATAGGTCCTAGAAGGGACCCTAATGTTATCTTGCTAAATTAACATGTTGTCAACGTGCCTTCTAAATATTTATGTTTACATCTATAGGTTAGTGTGGTTCTCAGCCTCGGCCAGAGAAGTTGCAGTGGTTAATGCAGAGACTCATTACTGGTTCACGTGTTAAGTTCTAAACGGGACAGCTGTATCAACAGCCCCAAGGCTCAGCATATCACGGAGGAGGAGGAAAGACTCTAAGAACCAGAGGATCTGAAGGAGTGCTGTCTGATGGACAGGATGTGGGCATCACACTCATGAACCCAAAGCAGCTGTGGCTACCTGCACAGGACCAAGCCAGTCAACATACCAGCATGACTGGGAAGAGGCTCAGGAGGTCCCACCCTTAGCTAAGCAATTGATGGCTGCCTGGGGAAGGGGAGTCACAAGTATTTTTCTTGGAGAGGTGTGGTTGTTGGTAGGGTGCTCATGCTTGGTGGATGATCCAAACCCACGGGTGTCGGAAGCATTCACTGGATTCAGTGGGACATAAAAAAGAAGACACGAATGTGGAAGGGGACATGTTGGGGAGTGGGTCCAAAGGGGGCAGGATAATGGTGCTGGGATGGGTAAGATACATTGTGTACATGCATGAAATTGTTGAAGAATAAGAGATATTCCCATGGGGGAAAAAACCCTGAAAAATGCTCAATCTCACTAGCCATTGTTGGGGGGTGGGGAAAGCAAATGAGAACTTACCTGCAATCTCAACTCATCTGGCAGAATGGCACCTTATATACATTGCTGGTAGAAATGTAAACTTGTCCGGCCATCATAAAATCAACGTACAAGTTCCTTAAAGCACTAAAAGCAGAGCTATCTCTTGACCCAGATATACACTCCTGGGTATTTACCCAAAGGACTTACGTTCAACAAATTCCAGCAAAACTTACACAGCCATGCTTACTGCAGCACTATTCCTAAGAGCCGAGTTACAGAACTCATGGGATATCCAACAACAGAGGAGAAGGAAAATGTGGTCTGCACACACAACAGTGTTCAGTACGTCCTTTGAAGGAAAATGGAGGCAAATGGAAACAAACTGAACTGGTCTAAGAAATGCAGTTTATGTTTTCTCTCATTTGTGTCTTTATATGACATGGAAGTAGAAGAGAACTGTCCAGGGGGAACAAAGAGGACTAGCTGGAAGGAGGGGGTGAAAGAGAGTACGGGTACAGAGGTATGTTCAGCACGCAGTATGTACTTACGTGAAAATGTCCTTACACAACACAGACTCATGTACAAGGAATACACACAATGGAAATTAAACACAAAACTGAGAGAGAGTTTGGGAGGCGTTGGAGTTGGGGGTAGATATGTTCATGTATGAAATACCAAATAATGTGTAATAAAAGTAGAAATGGAGATAAAGATGATGATGGTTATTTATTTATTTTTTACCATTCTAGGAATTTTAATTACTGAAAAGATCCAACAGGAAAGATCATAATACAAAAATCAGAGTTAAGTACAAGGACTCATGATGTTTCTAACTGGAAAAACCTATTTTCAACATATATGTTTAGTATTACCAAATAGTTGATTTTTATAAACATGAAAATCTAAATAATTATGCTTGTTTTTGTAAGAATAATGCCTCTCAGTTCACTCAATTTCATATTACAATGAGAAACTAAACTGGTTACCTGTGGAGTCATCGGGGGTCCATGGATGACTGCGAGCTGGCTTCTCTGAGGTTGGTCCTGAGGTAGTGATCATTCTGACACTAGGACTGGACGACCTACTGCTCACCTGGAGGAAGGGATGGAAGGAGGAAAAAGTGTCATTTTTTTAAAGAATGACAAGACACATTTTCATATCTAGTAAAAGGCAAAAAGATTTTCATTTTTATTAATAGAGGCCCCGAGACTCCTGAAAACGGAATTCTAAGTATATAATCAATGTATAACAAATTCTCAAGTCAATGTATGTTGAATTTGTACAAGACGTCTCTTCAACACTTACAAGGCTTGGACGGGAAAAGTAGAAAGGAAGCCCACTAAGCCGAAAGAAGTGCTTAAGCTGTCAGTGCGAGGACTCCAAGCTAGAGCCCTTGACTGTCTGCTGGGTCAAGAGGAACTAGTAATAAGGCCTAGTAAGGAACTATAATAAGTCCTTGTAGGATGAGAGGCCTGGAGAAAGCCCTGCTTGAAGCTGAGGCAGGGAATGCTTTGTTCCTTGAGAAAGAAAAAACTAATAAAAAAATAAAAAAATCTCTTGACAAAGGCAGATGGCAGACACCTGTAATCAACACTTGGAGGCAGAGGCAGGAGAATCATGAGAAGGAAATAACAGTGCCCCCTGTACATACAGAAACCATTTCTAGAATTAATGGAAGACAGAATTGTGCAAATGTACATGAAAAGCATGAGAAATGAGACAAACCCATACACCAAGTTCCACATGCTCATATAGAGTCAAATTCCAGAAAATAGAACGGCCTCCAGAGGGAAAAGGGCAGCTATCGGTGAAGCTTCCCTAAGTCAACAGATCTAGAATTAGAAATGCTTTGACACCTGAAACTGAGTGCTCACAAGATGCCACAGGTAGACACACTGTACCTAACTAACACCTCCCGTGCCAGGTACACTGAAACAATCAAATAAAATTACCTGCAGGCATGCTTATCGTACAGAAAAAACAAATGGGTGACAAATTCAGACCTGGGCCTCATTACCAAGGTGTCTCCATCAGATACATGCAAGTATTTCGAACTCTGAAAAGAAAACCCTCAACTGGAAACATAACTGGTTTCATGGGTCTCAGAACAAACATTCAAAACACATTCACAAAATACGAGCTACAGCCACAAAAGAAGCCGGAAAAGTGGATTTCTAGCTACACAGTGCCAGTGGCAGAATCACTAACAGCCCAGCGTAAATGAAGAATTGGATCAGAACAGCATCTGCAGATGATGAGAACAGAATTGACCATCCACAGACTCTTATGATAGGAATTTCTAAGAAGAAACCCCACTTAACAAGAAACTTTCCCTTGACAAAAAGGCCAGGATACAATTAACTTGAAGAAAATTCTGACGGAAAAAGGTGCTAGTCTATATAATTGAAAACCATAAGTGAAGGAAACAGTAATTAATTCACAGAACTAGTAAACAACACAGCAAAATAATCTACAAAATAATAAAACCTGAATAAGCAAGAACATTGTTGTTAAAATGCCTCTGCTGTTCAGAAAGAGCAGAGGTATTAAGCAGGCTGGATATACATGTTAAAATCTCAAAGGTCCTCACTAAAAGTCATAAAATCTGACTCTTAACCCAGAAAAACAAATGTGATGAGAAACAAGAAATGCACCTATTAAACTTTAAAGAAGGCAAGAAGAGAGGAGGCTCAAATAAGATGGAGGAAATTTATAAGTAAAAGTAACCAATATAAACTACAATATTATATATGAAATGAAACAGAGCAAACCCCCTAAGCACAGGGCTGGAAGACAACATGGGGGTTAACTGCTTCCTGTCTTCCAGAGGACTGCTTTCAGAGTTTGGATAACAGTCCTGAGGAGGTTCACAACTCCGGCCCCAGGGGATCTGAGGCCTACTGGGGACCCCTATGTGTAGCATGCATATGCACGCACATATATACAGACACACACAAGCGGAAAAAAAAAATAAAGCCCCAACTAAATTAAAGGCCTGCACCACCACCACCGCCTGGCTTCT